TTTATCGATTCGATGTCATTTTACAATAATCTTACGGCACTTTAAATGAAACAAATAACCTTTTCCAGTAGATCGGACTTAACGGGCGAAAAATACCAGTCATGTAAAGGGTTGTCTTAGCTGTTGGAGTCGGAGCCTATGGCTGATTCGACTCAACTCCGGCATTTTAATGTCGGAAGGTCAAAACTTAACAAGATAATTTCAGTCGAAAATTTTTAAAATATTAAGTTAGTAATAAAATTATGGTTGTATTCATTATAAACCAATAAACATGAAAAGAGAGGTTTTTGAATAATAATGCAATTCCTCAAAAGTCAAGGGAAGAAATTCTTTATTAAATTTGGACGAAAAAAAAAAAAAATAATTATATATGTCTTCCTAACTTTTAAACGTCTTAAATATTAATACATGTTTTTTACACACACAAACACTACGTCAAAGTTATATGACAAATGCTTTGAAATTAAAATGAATATTGTCATACGTAAAATCTCGAATCACGCCGTCATCCTTGTATCTGTCTATAATTTCCATATACTCCTCTCCTTTATAATGGGGGTCTGATGTCATGATCGAAAGTGGAATTCGACCTCTCCAATTTTCTAAAAAGGTTTCCAAGGTTTTCAGGGAAAATTTAAACCCAGGATAAAATGAATGAAATTCCCCAAATCTAATGTCTCTCAGATTATTTGGTGCTGATTTTATTAATGCATTGGATAATTTTTCTCCGGATGCAAACTTGATTTCTTCTTCATTTATACTTAATATTAATGTCTTCAAATTTTGACAAGTTTCTAGTAATTTTTCGAATTCGATGAATTGCTCCTTTGATGATGAGAATGCAAGGGTCAAATGTTCAACCAAAGGACAATTTTCACGTATGGCGCGAATCAGAATGGAATGATCATCATCGTCATCATCGATGCAATATTCATTGACCAAAATTTTCTTGAGATGTCTTCCGCCATTTTTAATTAAATGAATAATCGTGCTGGTTTCAATATATTTTATTTGTAGAATTTCAAGTTTTTGATAGCATGATTGTTTCAATTGATTTTCAATTTCAAAGTAAGTGGCATCAACTATTAATGATTTTAAATTTTGAAATTTTGATAGATTTATCGTTAAAGGGATCTCATAATCAAATTCATCATTTAAAATTATTACAAGACGAACAAGTGTATCTGACTTGTTCTCTAATGCTATAAAAATTTCATAATAAGTATTCTCCGCAAAATATAAATATTCATAATCACTAAAATCATCCACCCATTCAAAAGATTGTAAATTCCTCTGAGCCTCAATCAACTCAACGATTCCTTCGATAGACCTTACGTCAGTATTGACGATGGTGATACTTTGTATGGATTGACAGATACGTGCTAATCCATAAAAGTAGCTTGGATCAATGGATGTGTCACATTTTAGCTCACAAAGTGAATCAAGACGATTCTTGGCCTCTGCAAATAAAAATATTTGATGTTCAATTGATCTTATATCCAAATACTTTAACTCTAAACATTTTCTCATACAAAGACCATAAATTTCTTGTTGTAATATAAATTGTCTATAAGCTGACGGAGAACCAATAGAAGCTATACCTTTTATAACATTTGTATTGATGCTCCTACAGAAAGACAAATAGTCAAATAAAGATGATTGGTGAGAATTTGATGGTAATAGAACTCCTTGTTTTGTTAGACTATCTTTAATATCATCGGATAAAAAGGAGATGATAGTGTTGTACAATGAACTTTTGCTTTGATAATTAATGTTATTGTTATAACGCCAAGGATTCCTCCATAAGACCGGGATTACGGTCTCACACCAAAGCCTGTTAACTAAAAGACATGAAAAGAGAGACGTGGAATCGTATTGTAATTCCTCAAATAATAAGAAAAGAATGTCTTTATTGAGTTTGGACATTTTTTTAAACATATAAAGTTGCGAAAAAAAAAGAAAATTATATATATATTTATAAATATTAAAAAAAAAAAAAAAAAAAGACGGATTCTTATTTCAAGGGGAAAGAAAAATAAAATAGACAACGGTATATATTTTTTTTTTATTTACCTATTTTAATAAAAAAGTTATTGTATTACACTAATTCTGTGTCATCACGTGAAGTGACCTGAATATATACATTTACTTTACTTTTGATGATCTCGCGCACCAAAAGTCAATTATTAACTAAAAAGACATGTGTATGTAACACGATTCCTCAAATAACAGTCTTGGGGAAATTTTGATGTGATAGAGTTTTAAAACATGCTTTATTGAGTTTTAAGAGATAATATACAATTTTGATTCTTATTTTCGAACGATGAAATCCCTTACTGCGGTGAAAATCACGTGAAGTGATGTAAAATAATTTAATACATATTCTATACCCTATAGCTAAAATAAATATCTCTTAAGGAACCGCATTTAAAATCTTTAATCACGCCATCCTTCTTGTATCTACTTAACATTTCCGTATATTCCTTTCCTTTATAATGATGATCTGATGTAATTATCGAAAGTGGAATTCGACCTCTCCAATTTTCTAAAAAAGTTTTCAAGGTTTCCAATGAAAATTTAAACCCAGGATATAATGGATAAAATTCCCCAAACCTAATTTCTCTTAGATTATTCGATGCCGAATTTATTAACGCTTTCGTTAATCTGTCTCCGGATGCAAACTTTCTTTCTTCAAGTGACTTATATTCATCATTCGTAAAAGCATTTATACTTAATATTAATGTCTTCAAATTTTGACATTTTTCTATTAATACTTCGAATTCGATAAAATGTTCCTTAGTTGATGAAAAGGCAAGGGTCAAATGTTCTATCAAAGGACAATTTTTATGTATTGTCCGAATAAGAACGAGATAATCATCATTATCAATATCATCATACCCATCAACCAAAATCTTCTTGAGGTTCCCCCTACTGTTATTAATTATAGAAATAATCGTGCTGATTTGAATATAGTCTATTTGAAGGATTTCAAGATTTTGAAAACATGAACTTTTCAATTGATGCTCAAATTCAAGACAAGAATCATTAATTATTAATGTCTTTAAGTTGTGAAATTTTGAAAATTTTATTGGTATGGTCCCATAATAATAATCAAAATCTTGAAAGCTCGTTACGAAATGTACAAGTGTATCAGCCTTTCTCTCCAACGTTTGAAAAATTTCTTCATAAGTATCTCCCGTAACGGAATCATCAAAATCATTTAAATCATCCTTCCACTCAAAATATTTTAAATTTCTCTGAATATCAATTAACTTGACGATTCCGTTGTTTAAATTTATATCTGTGTTGATAATGATGAGCCTTTGTATAAATTGACAGATACGTGCCAACCCATAAAAGTAGGTCGGATCAATAGATGTATCACATTTTATTTCACAAAGTGAATCAAGTCGAGTCTTTGCTTCTATAAAGTAAAAGATTTGATGCTTAAGTGATCTCATATCCAAATACTTTAACTCTGAACATTTTCTCATAAAAAGGTTGTAAATTTCTTGTTGCAAGAGAAATTGCTTATAAGCTGAAGGGGAACCAATAGAAATTATAATGTTTAAAATATTTATATTGAAACTTCTGCAGAAAAGCAAATAATCGAATAAAAATGATTGGTGTGAAGTTTGTGGTGTTTGAATTCCTTGGGTTTTTAGAAATTCTTTGACATCATCGGATAAAAAGGAGATGATAATGTTGTACAAGGAACTTTTGTTGTGATAATTAATGTTATCATCATAGCACCAGGGATCCCTCCATAAAATCGGAACCACGGTTTCACACCAAAGTCTATTAACCAATAGACATGAAAATAGAGACTTTGAATCATCTTGTAATTCCTCAAATAATAAGAAAAGAATGTCTTTATTGAGTTTGGACATTTCAAGTAAATATGGTTTTTTTTTTTTTAAAAAAAAAAAAGAGGGATGGGCAAAGAATTTAAAGGATTTATACAATATTTATTTAATAATTTCCCGACGTATTTGGACACAGTTTGATTAAAAAAGGAAGATAAAAAGTTACTATTTATGTTCTTTTATTTAACCAAAATTGGATTTATAGTGTCAATGATGTTTTATGTAGGCGGCTGTTATGTAACTTTATCTACAGAAGAAATTGCCTAATCGTTCAAAACCTCTTTCCATTTTAAATTTCTTTTTAAAATAAGAAATAATAATCATCCAATTTAAAAATTCCCTTCCAGTAAAGTCAACTTCTTGTACAGGAGTATCGTCGATAAAAAATGTGCAATTCCTTTTAGGCATATATATGATCATACGTAATCTAAATTCTGGTTGGATCGATAAGGGAACCTCAACAATAACCACTTCTATATACAGTATATACAACACACGTGTTAAAAATAAAGCCCGATTTGGGCGAAAACTTATCTAAGAAAAGATCTTAAATATATGCATGATATACATCCTGATGCACAATAAAGCTAATCATTAGACCATAATATCATCAACGTCAATTTTGCAACTTGATTACCTACGATGAATATTAAAGAAATGATGTTATTTTAAAATGTAACGAAGTTCTGTAAAGCCTCCATACTCTAAACATTCCTTAAGCATATTAAGCCAATAAAGATTTTCAATGGTGCGCAATATTCTACCCCTTCATTGAGGATGGGTAATTGTGTTTACCGCACCAGTCAAAGTCAACTAATATTGCTCGAACCTCTTCATCTTTTTTATACATCATGCAGAGAAGCTTTGCGCGAACCCTTTAGAAGCGCGCTTTTACATTATATCGTTGAGCAAATTTCACGAAAATTGTCTGTCGCGCGCTAGCCAACAAATTAATCTTTGGCAAACAATTAATTTTTGTTAAATAATATTACACTTTTATCCTAGTGTACTGATGAGAGAATGGATAAATCGTTGATGTATGAAAAGCTTTAATAAAAATTTCTTAGACGTTCAAAAGCAGGTATGGCTTTGAAGGTGAAATTGGCACATAGAGCACATACCCATGGACAATAGATGGCAATAAAAACAAGCTTTACAAGAGCGAATGTTAGCCGAACGACAAACGGCTTTAAGCGAATGAAATTATTGAAGACAGTTGCTGTTATATCGAAACTTTCTTGTGCCCATCTGGGATGTAATGCTCATCTTTTGGTATTTTCTATTTCTTCAGCTGTTATTCTAACAACAATTGAAGGTCTTTCATTTTTGTATCCATCCGCAATATAATTAATAAGAGGATTGATCATGTTTAAAATCCTTATTCTTGTAGCCTATCGTTATAAGTGGCCCAATACAGTCATGTGGACAATGATTCAAGATAACTGGATTTTGCAGAAAAATGTTAAACGTCGTGCAAATGTTGAAATTTATTGGACTCGAGACATTTTCACGATGATTTTCGTCACTATAAAAATATCAATTTTTCATGAGATACCTGAAAATCAGAACACATACATAAGTTTCCTTTAACAGAAGCACCATTAATTCTTGTTCTCGAATTTTTTTCTTTGATGGAATTACTACAGCGCGCTATCAAAGAGATTAATTATGACTCAAAGACTTACCGGTATTAACAAATACTTGATGTGGTTTGTCATAAGTACACAGTACACTTAACCAAAAAGTTGTCAAATCATATGTTCGTAAAAAATTTTAATACCATATTATTCTCTTAAGATGATGTCGCCAACATCCACATATTTTAGTTTGTTAAATAGTTCGTCTTTTAAAGTTTTTAACAAGTGTGCAATCATATTCTCTTTAGTTTTTATTTCGTTTAAAAATAAGAAGATTTGGTCGTCGTTTTTGCGTGCCCACACACAATAAATCGATTTTACAATCTTCAAAAACGCCTCGATTACAAAAAATATCTGTGAAATAATAACTATCAACAGAAATTTTGATAATTATATATAACATGTAACTGTAGAGAGGTATTTATTTAACAATAATAAATTACTTATCACCTGCCATAATATTTTACTTATTTTTTCCATTTTAAAAATAAATTATTTCATTTTAGAAACCAATGTTTTGAATTAATTACATAAATTTCCGATCAATTTATCTCAAAGGAAACATTCATATGAATGCTCTTTATAAAGAGCAATTCTTAAAATACTTTATTTGAAGAATTGTAAATGATACGCAGTCAGGATATTCCATCTTGGAATGTTAAAAAATTTGTATTATTACAGGATTTGATTTAATATGATGACAATGAGAAATTAATAAAATGTGCAAACAATTCTTTATAATTATATAATATAAATATTAGAAATTTCGAAATTAATATCTTTGACATATCTTTAGCATATCTTTAGCATATAATTTTTATTAAAAGAATATACAATAATTTGGAATAAGAAAACAAAAATGCAAAGCTAAAAAATAAAAAGGCAATTAATATTTAAGCATAACTGATTGGTTCACTAGAACAAAGATACTAATAAAATTAAGTGGATCTGCCGATATGTAAAGATAATTTAACGCATAAATACATAAATAAATATATATAAAGTTTACTACCCAGTAAGGATAAGTATAATCGCATGATTGTGTAAATGGTGTCGATCAGGGAATATCCTTTCGCGTTTTATATAATTCCTTTTCCAATCCATAAGTCGTTCTTCTTTTATAATAATTTACATTTAGATTCAACATATTTTCTAAATTTCTTGTCTATAATCAATTTTTCTCTTCACAATGGAACCTCTAATCATATTTTCGCTTTACTGATAACGTACGCATTTAAACGTCAATTAAAGATATTAAAGATGCACAGGTCGGGTGAAAATTTATCCAAGATAATAAATACCTCGGAAAGTGATGACGCTACATTATAACGCGAGACATTTCGATACGTGTATGTTTACGGTTTAAGAGTGATATACAATTAAATCCGAGCCAGTAACACAATGAATAGGTCAAATATCATCAATTACTTGAATTACGCATTCCAAAATAATTAAAAATTAAATTTTATCGTTAATCTAAACATCACCACCAAATAAAACTTCCCACGGTTTACCACATTTAAATTCTTTAATCATTCCATCATCCATAATATTCTTCTTTTTTATATAAGTGATCCGATGTAATTATCGAAAGCGGAGTTCGACCTCTCTCCAATTATCTAAAAAAGCATCCAAGGTTTCCAATGAAAATGTAATCCCATAACGATGTGAAACCATTTCCACTAATCTAATTTCTCTTAAATTATCTGGTGCCGATTTTATTAATACTCTTGATAATTCTTCTCCTGATTCAAGCTTTATTTCATCAAACGATCCGGGATCATCCACTTCTTGCATTTAAAACAAGTGATTTTTAATGATAACGCCTTCAACCTTTGACATGCTTTTAGTAAAATTTTCAAATTCAACAAAATGAATCGTTGATTTTGAAAATGCGAGTGACAAATATTCGATTAAAGGACAATATTCATAAACCGAACGGATAAGGAGAAGAGATTCTAGATAATAGTTATCATTATAAACAACGTCATATCCGGCGACTAAAATTTTCCTAAGGTACCCTCTGCAGTTTTAATCACGTAAATGATTGTGCTGAAAGGAATAAACTCTATCTGAAGGGTTCTAAGATTTTGAAAACTTGAACTTTGAATTTGATGTTCAAAATTATGGGTATAATTTTAAACTTTAACACTTTCAAGTTATGAATTTTGAAAACTTTATCGGTATCGCTGGTGTCGGTGTGTGTCCATAATAATCATTATAATTTTCAAAGTACGTCAGGTATTTGCCTTTTTCTCTAATGTTAAAAAATTTCACCTTTACCACGAATTGACGATCATAAATCATTATCAATCCATTCAAAATATTTTAAATTCTTCTGTACCTCAATCAACTTGACAATTCCACCATTGACTTTTATTTCTTTGTTGATAATGATGAGCCTTTGTATCGATTGACAGATACGTGCTAATCCATAAAAATACGTTGGATTAATGGACATATAACATGTGATTTCACAAAGTGTATCAAGACATGTCTTCGCTTCTGTAAAATAAAAAAGTTGGTAATTAAATGATCTCATATTAAAATACTTTAATTCCGGACATTTTCTCATAAAGTAGCTGTAAATTTCTTTGTTGTAAATGAAATTGTTTATAAGTTGAGGAAGAACAACCAATAGAAATTATTTTGTTTATGACATTTATATTAATACTCTTACAGAAACACAGATAATCGAACAAAAGTGATTTGTGTGAAATTGGAGGTAAATAGATTCCTTTACTGGTTAGGTATAACTTGATATCATTGGATAAAGAGAAGGTAATAACGTAATATAAAGAAATTTTGGTTATCATAATTTATTTGATCTTCAAACCGCCAGGGATTCTTCCATTAAAACGGAACCATGGTTCTACACCAAAGTCTATTAACCAATAGACATGAAAAGAGAGACTTTGAGTCATCTTGTAATTCCTCATATAACAAGAAAAAAATATCTCTATTGAGATTGGACATGTGAAAAAAGGAATCGTCGTGCTTAAAAAAAAAGGAAAAAAAAAGCAATGAAACATCCCATTATATATATATATATTTAAATTATCGTTATTATGTGCGACTTATTTTAATTGTGAAGCCAAAGAATTGATGGTGAACTATGACCTATATATGGTCATGAGAGTATATCAAACATACTTAATAGCTGTCATTATTTTGTAGGAGATATTCGTTAGAAAGTACAATATTTTTATGACGCAGTTAGGTTGCGAGGCAAAACCCAAACAATAGTTGAAACCTTTAGATTTCGTTGGGTTTTCGACGGGTTTCGATTTCGATGCCTTCAATTCATTTTGTAAAAATAAAAATCGACCTCCATAAATTAATTCCTTTTTGCTGATATATATATTTATACATATATTTATATATATTTGGCCAAAAATAAATTTTTTTTTTTCGTTGTTTATGGAATTACATAAAATCGTGTAACAAGATTTTTTTTTTTTTGCTTGTTTGTTGATTTAGGTAAAAAACCTTTATTATAGAGGAAAGCTTTCCTCTTTAAGTAATCTTTATAAATCACCGTGTAACAAACAGACATATCAATCGTTTCGAATTTTGTGATACATTATAATGGTATAATTTAGTTTAATTCTGGAGTTTTAGCATTTAAAAAAATTTTCCCCCTTTTTTTTATCATTTTAAAAAAAAAAATTAAAAATTAAAAATTAAAAATTAAAAAATAAAAATAAAATAAAAAATAAAATAATAATTTTTTTTATACTTCATTATGTCAGCTATTCGACAAGAATTGATTAACGCTGCATATCAGAAAGCACACGCATTAACGGATTATATTATTGACGACGAAGGACATGAATCAAGACAGAAATTAATCCTCACTGATAAATCTCTTACAAAGGATGAAAGATCAGAAGCGATAAAAGTATTAAACGAAAATTACGATTACTACAAAATTCTTTCTAATAAAGGAAAGAGAAGGCTATGTAATAATTGCAACCAAGAATGTTTGGCAACTTTATATTGTGAATATTGTGTTCGAAACTATTTGAAATCGAAATTTTCAAATTGGACATCAGGGAATAATGACGTCGACAGTTTAATCCAGAAATGTCAAATGGAAGCTCACTCTCCTGATTATATACTTGAGTGGATATCATATGATAAGTTGACGAATATTAAATATTTAACTAGGGGTGGAAGTTCCGATATTTATTTGGCGGAATGGATCGAAGGAGGTTATGATAGATGGGATGAAAACAATCTAGAATTAAAAAGGTTTGGTAGTGAACATGTGATCCTTAAAAGGTTGGAAAATGTAAAACTTGCTAACAAAAGTTGGTTTGAAGAGGTACGTTAAAATATTTATAAAATTTTTTTAAACGTAATTTATCTTCAAATGATAACTAATAAAATAAATAAATAAACGTATAGGCAAAATCACATTTAACTTTGGGAAACAAGAAGACGGTGGTTGTTAAATGTAATGGGTTTACTCAAGAACCATCAACGAAAGAGTATTTTCTTGTGATGAATCAAATGGATATAGATTTAAGAAGATATTTACTACAAAATCATCACCTTTCATGGAAAGAAAGAATTCAGATCACATTTTATATAATAGATGCACTTAATAGCATTCATAAAGATGATATTATCCATAAGGATTTGCATTCTGGGAATATATTATACTTACAACATAATAATTATTGGTATATTAGTGATCTTGGATTTTGTGGACCCGCTGACATGCCAGCAGGAAGTATCTACGGAAATTTACCTTATATAGCTCCTGAAGTCATTGCCGGAAAAGGGTATACTAAAGCATCTGATATTTATAGTGTTGGCATGCTTATGTGGGAAATCGCATCTGGACAACCACCATTTAATGATTTTGAGGATGACTATGATCTTGCAACAAAAATAATAAACGGATTAAGACCAAAAATAGTATCAAACATTCCTTTAGAATACAAGAAATTAATGGAAGAGTGTTTGGGCGCCGATCCATCAAATAGGCCTGATATTGGTGTTCTTCATAGTAAAATAAATGAAATCAATAAATTATATGATCAAAAATTAAATGGAAATAAAAATATTATTAAAAAATTTTTGAAAAATTTTCAACCAAGTCAACCAAAAACAGATGATGGTTTAGAAATAAATGAAACATGTAATATAGAAATAATCCTTAAAGGCTGCAGAACATTTATAAGTAAAGTTTATAAATTTGAACATTTCCCTGATCCAAAGAATGCAATTGAAGGTAAATCTCAAATCATTTATTCTCTCTTTAATTTCATATTCTAAAATATAACATTATATTCCTTTTAAATAGAAATGGATGATCAAGAAGGTATATACAATTTAAGGCATTTCATCATGGACTGGACCGCATTATATTTTATTAATTCTTTTTCTTTTTAGTTGAAAATTGTAGTAATTCAAGTGCAAAGAATAACAGTGCAAAATCAGGTAGCATTTTTGAAGGTAAATGTATATATTAAAATCCAAATAATAATTGAGCGTATATTAATTTTATTTTTAATTGTTTTAGGCAACAATAAGAGCAGCAAGAGATTATCTAAAGTATTTAAAAAATTACGACTGAATCACTCCAGTTCTGGTAAGTAGAATTGACGCCAATCATAATATATATAAAATAATTTAATTGAATATAATTTATTTTTATAGATATTCATAATAGTGAAGTACAACAACAACCAAAGGGCCATAGTAGTGGTATGGATATAATTTTGAAATTTTATGATATTAATTTTATCTGATTTTAATCTTCCTTTTTTTTTTTACAGATGACGACGATACTCCCAACCTTCATTTAAATGAAACAAATCATTTAGAAGTACGAAATAGATTAGAAGTTCCTGATGTAAACTTTTTAAAACACATGAGTATTTAAAGTAGTAGTATTTGGTATTTTTTACTGATGATTTGTGTTTATTTTTAGATCAATTAAATCTATTTAGATTTAGAGAAACTATTCAATAATAATACACCATTTTATATTTATATTATATTACATTTTATTTCATTAAAAGTCATCGAATATATTTTTCTAGAAACGTCACATACATTAATAAAAGGCGAAATAGAAATTTAATTCTAGACCGATGTTTACATTAATTTCTCTAAATACCTATCAGATCATATCACACCAATCACTTTTCAAAAAATACTCATTTTAGAGATCGAACCCTATGTTTCGATATCAACTTTCAACGGGATGTTTTATATATAGTTTCTACCCTTTTACTATATTTGGAGGTTTGCTATTAAAATCATATGATTTTTATGTTTCGTAATACTTGATTTTAATAGCACTAGGGAATGGTTTCGGAAACCGTTGTTAAGTCCGGAGCACAAGTGTAACGAAAGGGACCAACGCGGGACACCGGGCACAAAGACTTTTGTGTAATTGCGGGCCCACAATTAAACATCACTTAATTATATGTTTACACAATTGCGTCATAAATTTATTATACAATTTACATATTATTGATATATAATGCTTTAAGCAAAATCCTAATCAGAGATAACCTGATGTTAGATGAAGTTTATAATATAAAAAAAAAAAATTAAAATTAAAGTTTAATAATTATATAAAAAAATACTTAATTGCCGATTCGCGAGTTACACAGACAAAGTGATCTACATTACTAATAAAGCGTGACGGGTAATTAATTATCGTTATTACATTTTTAAATGTGAAGTTTTTATTAAGTTGACCTCAAAAATGTCAAAAAAGCGTCAGTTTACACCAAACCTTTTAAGTATAGGTGTTATAGATTTACAATTACACTATGGAATTTATGCTCGAAATTGGTGGGAAACAGTTAGTACTAAGTCAGCTGCAGGTATTAGACAGAGTTATTATTATAGTCACTTCCAACGATGAAAATTTTCTGAAGCCAGGTTTTCAATGTATATGTGGAAGGATTAAAGTGAAATTGAATCATATCCATCTACAGCAATTAAAGCATGTTATCAAAAAGTTTTTGGTGCAAAAACAGAAAATTCAGGCTTAGCAGTTATGGGATTTGAAAGTGAGAATATAATCCAAAAATTAATTGCTAATATTTCATTTTTTCCATTATTTCTCCGTATCGAAAAATTTTTAGTTGTAATAATAAATCTTGGTAATAGTTCATCAAAAAATGAAAATGATTATTATGAAGCTAAAGTAGGATTTACCTCCTCATTTATTACATGTTATAATGGTGCATAACATTTATTTTTACTCAAAGTTAATGAAGAAGATTGTTCTTTTAGAAATTTATTTTGAATCAACATGTATTAGAAAATACTCCAGATAATGTTTGGAGTCAAACAGGAATACATTAAAAGCAAATGGGATCGCATTTGTTTGGAATTAAAATATATTAATTCAAGAAAAATTACGTATATTAGAGAGTAAACCTATAACATATACATGTAATGATTGAACAAATATTCAAAAACTAAAAGAGATTTTTAATAGACATATAAAATCACGTAAAATTCCTAATACAATGATTGATTGACCTCGTCTCTTTCATAATTGGTATTAACAAGAAAGTTCAATTGTTGAATTTTTACTTATATTACAGAAGATTTATCCATCTAATTATATTTTACAAGAAAAAGAATTATGAGCATGGTAAGCAATGTTTACTGCCTGTAGATGTACAAATGTAACATCTTTTTTAAAAAATAGATCATGTATTGAATTCTAGAGTAAAGCTTTAAATTCATATACTGATAAAAAAATATTAGAAGGTATTTATAAAAGTAATATATTTCAACCATTTTCAAATAAAAAAGGTACAGATAGCAAAATTCGCATCCTTTCAATTATTGTCTTAAATTTTTGATATAGTAATCTCAAAAAGGAATTAAGCATAAGTAGTTGTAAAATCTGAGATTATGATGATTTTTATTTTAAAATTTTTGTATTGTTTTTTTATTTATGTACTTGTTAATAATATTATGTAATTTAATTTGAAAGGTATGATCCTTTGTTAAACAAAGAATAAAAAAAAGTTTTGAGAGTTATGCTCCTTTATTTAAATATAAATAATCTAAAAGTATTCGATATATTAAATAAATTCTAAATTCTAATACTTGATCACTAAAAATATTTGCTTTTAATGTTCATATTTTTAGATATCATTTGATACAATAAATAGAGCTAGAAAATATGCTAGAATTAATAGACCAAGCGCATTACCTTTACAAAAACTGAAGAGAACTGTTTAAAGATTAACTGATATTTAAAAGAAACAGTTTTTATTATTTTTCAAGACCAAGAAATTGTAATAATGAGTTTGTATAAAGTTAATATAAAAACGGGATTATTAATTTTATATTTACGTGATCAAAAATATGACCTATGAAAAAAATTCATTAGAACTTATTCAAATGATATGAAAAAACTGCCTTTTTGGCTCAGTTAAATAATTGAACAAACTTTAAATATCGAGAAGATCTTGGTGGTTTATGTCAAATATGTAATGATTATGAATATGAAATCTTTAGAAATTTGAAGATTCTTATACAAAATAATTTTAAAAGTAAAATTACCATGATTAGTCAATATTAATATTTAGAACTTTTTAATTTAATGCATTTTATTTATCTACATTAGAATGAAATTTTAGGATATCTTGAAAATTAAACAGTATATGAAATATGGTTATAAAAAAGAATTGTTAGTTAAATCAGATAGACATATTGATCATATTCTTGCATTTTTTACTGTCTACTCTATGTATTTAGCAAGTGTACTAATAAGCATGAAATACAATATTCTAATTGTGATCAATTATTTAATCTTTTGGATTTTCTGTTAGAATCAATATTTTTAAATATTTATTTCTAAATTATAGAATATAAAGAAAAGCTATTATATTATCCTTTATATTAAATGTGTAAAATATGCTTAAATGCTTAGTTTAAGGTAGCATTATCTGAGCTTGATCTAAATGATGTACTTTATTACAGATTATAAAATGCATATATTGCTTTAATTTGCATATGAGATAAAATAGGATTTATTTGGAACGCGAGGTTGAATACTGCATATAATTATAGTTTATACTAAAAAATATAAAAATGAATTAGATGTTAGAACATATGGGTTGATTGCTAGGAAATCAGGTTCTGGGAATTTTTTAGCAAAATTGAGATTTTTATTGCATTTTAGTTTTTAATGTTATTAGATTAAAATGTATTAAGCTCTTTATTTTAGTCAAAAATTTCTCGGAACCTGATTTTCCTAGAAACACTCCCATATGATCATTGGTCTATGAATACATAATTCTCAGCATTAGCATTTAAAGCTATATTTGAAACAATGAAAAATAAACCAAAATGGATCAGAATAATATCTGATAATAGTTCTTACTATCACAATTCTGAACTTATGACTATAGTAGAATATTAGCATAAGTGGTATAATATTAAAATTCATAGCTGGTTGTTTTTGGAACCTAGAGAAGTAAAAATAATAATAGATTCATACTATACTACTGTTAGTATTTTCGTGATAACTTTTATATGAAAATATATTTTCTAACTTGTTACTTTTATTTTAAAGATAACATATGCAATTAAATAATACTTACAGGTTAGATTTGATTTAGAAATAGAAAATGATATTATTGAAATAATTAAAGGTTTATCTAGAACTTCATTGGCAAACATAGAATCAGATCGTAATAATAATTTTGTTGAAGAAATAGAAATTAGTAAAATAAAAAAGCAAAAATTAAAAAAAGCTAAAATCAAAACAATTAAAGGAATTTTAAAACTATACTATTGGAAATGACTAGTAGAGGATGAATACAGTGAATATATTCGTATATGTTTATTATCTTATATCAAAAAATGAAGTAATTTCATTTCAGCATATATAGAAAATCTTTTAAATACTTTACTTTACTATTCTTAACCAAATATATCAGAATATATGATCTCACAATTAACATGAATAATTCTAATAGATGCATAAGTTAGATAAATATTAATATTATTAGCTGAATAAATTTCTGCATCCAAATCTGAAATTAATGTTACACTTTTTTAGCTGAGAATGATAACAAAGTAGCACTAGTTGAAATAGTCCAAATCAGCTAAAAATCAGATGGCTGATTTTAGGCTGATTTTAATACTATTTATGGCCTATTTGTCATGTTTTCCAATCAGCACAAATAGGTGTTGATAGACGCTAATCGACTTCAATCGAACATGACCATTCAGAACTTAAATTCAACTATAAATCAGCCTAAAACTGGCCTATATTTAGCAATAATTCAGACGCTGATAGATGCCGATCGACTTCAATCAGATATAGTCATTCAAAATTAATTCAGAACTTAAATAACCATAAATCAGCTTAAAATTAACCTCAATTCAACAACAATTTAAACGCTGATCGATGCTGATCAACTCCAATCAGATAAGTAATTCAATCATAAATCGACCTAAAATTAGCCTCAATTCAGTATCAATTTGACAACAATTCAGACATTAATCGATGCTAATCGACTCTAATCAGACAAGCAATTCAGTATTAATAATCAGTATATTTTATTTATTAAATTTATTAAATATTAAAATTTTATTAATAATAAAAACCTAATATAAATTTGTAAAAATATAACAAAATATCACTAAAATCTACTGATTAATTTTCTATTAAAAATAAAATAATAAAATAATAAAATATGATACATTTGCTTCCAAAATTCCTTTAAATTATTCTAAAATATAAAATGTAAAAAATAGAAAATCAACCCAAAATCGTCCAAATAAAGATAATTAATAAAATCAACCCGTTCCCATCCCAAATCTTCCAAAAAAAATATAAAAAATAATTATTAAAATCAACTTGTTCCCACCTAAATCACCCAAAAAAATGTAACGATAATTATTAAAATCGACCCAAATCACCTAAATCACCTGAAAAAAAACATAAAG